TTTAATAATTTTTGCTGTAAAAAGTTGTTTAATTAACTCCTAAAAATGAAAAAAAAACATTCTTTTAAACAACAACTGGAACAAATTTAAAAAACCAAACAAAATAATATATATACGCGTATAAACCACATAAAGTCTTCATGTTTATTTCAATTTTCTCAACTTGATAAATTCAATCGAAATTGTAAAAGTGCTCAAATCTACTCTTGCCTCTTCCGTCCACTAAACTGACGCAACATAATCTAACTATTACTCTGATCAAAATCAGCACATTAGAGGCCACCCGTCTCAGTAAACAATAACACTTCTACAACTAATTAAATTTTCGTATAAAATCAACACCAAAACATTGATAGAAAACAAAAACTTCCAGAAAAAAACTTTTCTACGTAAAAAAAGTACTTGAAAGGCTTTAAGAAAGTTTTAAAAAAACATTCCCACATTCCAAAGTGATCATTTAAATCATATATTAACATGAATTAAAACTAATGCAAGTGAACGTAAACCGCTTTTTAGTAATCACTGTCGATAACTATTTGTGATTCTGAGCGTACTAAAAACTCGATCATCTTCATCTCCCCTCTTAAACTGCCCAATAGAAGATGCTCAGAAAAAATAGGTACGAAAAAAAAGAGCAAATATATCACAGAGACAAAATGAGAAATCAAAAAACGTATCAACAACAACTACAGTCATCGAGCCTTCAACTGGCATTTCAATAATCGGAAAACTTCCTGATAAGAAAAAAAACTTCCCACTAACCAAATCCCTTCAACGAATCTCCTACTTCAATGACTGGCTCACCACATACCCAGAAAGATTTCTAAAAAACTGTCTTCATCACAAGTCTCATATGACCACTATCCTACCAATGCCACTGATTCAACTTCAGTTTCCCCCTCCTGAGTTATCAGCTGCCCCAGCAATAACACTTTGCTGTTTCCGACACTGCCCAAAATGAGAACAACCAGCCAACAAAATTTGTTGGGTACGAAAATAACTCAAGTTCACGCACCAAATTTCAGTCCAACAACGTGCCAATAAATATTCTCTTTCATCCCTCTTAAAGACTTCAAAGAATAATACACACCAAGTATTAGCCAAAACTGCTGTATCAACAACAGCACCTCAACAACTCCAAATAACGAACAAATAAATGAAAGATAAGGGTAAATGTATATGTAAGCACACATACACAATCCATCATAGATATATAAAATACGGATACAGATAAATAAACAGATATATATATATATATATATATATATATATATATATACAACAAATTAAATGGACCAACTAAAATACATAAAACAGCGCGGACTTGTTCAGCACTGCCTTGCCTACGTCAAAGACAACCCTATTATGAGGAATATAATGTAGAAAAAATAAACTAAAGTCAAATATGTACGTCAAACGTCAAGAAGAGCCTTCAAGGAAAAGGTGAAGAATATATAAATATATAAATATAAACATAAA